CTCTGCAAGGCCCGGGCCGGGGGTGGCTGCCTCTCCTCAGCTCTTCCCGCTGCTGTCTGCCCTCCCACACTCCTTGACGTCTCCTCTCCGGAGGGCAGCGTCTATCTTCGGGCACAGAGCCTTCTGGAAGCACCCCACTTCTGCCAACTGTCAGCCTCGGCCAGCTTGGGGCCACCCCAGGAGGAAGCAAACTGCTGCCGCAGCGGGGCAGCACCAGGGGTGGGAGTCCAATGGAGCTCACGATGCCTCCCACTCTGGCCTGTCATTCCTGGGTAACTGGTGTGCTCCAGCTGGTCTCATGAAGGGTTGGCTGATGCAGGAGGGAGCACAGCAAGGTCTGAACATCCCCTGGGAAACAGCTGGGATGCGGAGCATTCCCTGGCTCCTGTCACTTATCTCCCAGGCTCCTTTCCTCATGGGGGTCACCGTGGTGGTGCTGACACAGCCCAAGCAGGGACAGTGCCTTCCTGGCCCGCAGCCACTGACAGAGGCAGCAGAGCTCTGGCCGGCTTTGTGCCTGACTCCTCTTGACCTGCAGGCAGCAAGCATAGTGGGCTGCAAAGTGACTTCACTTTGATGGCTCTTGCTTCATGCTTCTAAAGCAGCCTCCAGCCAGGGCTACTGCCATCATGCTGTGCTGGGGAAGCTGCAGCTGCTGGTCCTGCATGTGCTGATGTTCTCCACTCAGCCTATTCGCATGGGAAATCCCCCAGTGTACTCATGGTGGGTAGTTACAGGTCACCAGCAGCCCCTGCTTAGGTCTGCCATGATCAGCTGTGCTCACACAGCAGCCACTGACTCTCTCCCTCCCGGAGGCAGCACCCGAGCTGTCCAGTATGGTGACCTGCTCCACTGACAGCCGCCCTTCTCTGCCGAGGTCCATGCTGCCTGCTCCCACCCTGGGCACCGGAACCATCTGGAATTGTGCTGGAACTGGGCTGTGGCGCAGGAGGCTTTGTTTGCTCCTGCCTGGCACCCTTAGCATACTGTCACTCTCCTCCTGCAATCCCCACCTAACCCTCATCCCCAGCGCTGTTTTCTCCCAATAACACACACACCCACTGCTTGTTTAGATCGGAGTGTTATTTCTCTGGATGCCATCATTAAATGCTTGTCTGGACAGGACCCTTGTCAGTAGGATGGGGGGGAGCTGGGATCCCAAGGGATGGCTTTCTGGGAATGGTGGGGCTGTGGGATGCTGAGCATTTTGGGGGAGTGAAGCAGGGAGTGTTAGCAGCAAAGCCTGAAGAGTTAATTTTGGGAGCCTACAATACCCCTTTCCTTCTCCCTTGGCTGTCAGGAGAACCTGCAGAGGGAGAGGAGGGAAAACCTTCTCTCCCCTCCTGCAGGACAGCAGTCCAGGATGGGGTTTACTGAGAGCCAGCAGCTTTCCTTCCTCCAGGCTGGCAGGTCCATACAGAGGAGGCTGGGAGCAGGGCAAAGCTGGCTGCTAGCTTTTTGCCTCCTGCTCTTTGGGACTGTCCTCCTGCAGGTCCTCCTCATCCGACTGTGCCACAGGGGTCTCGGCCCCCTCCTCGCTGGTGTCCAGGCTGTTCAGATCCGTGGAGACGGAGGATGTGGAGGAAATACGTGACTTGCTCTCAGCTGCGCTGGGCACTTGCAGGGTGATTTCCTCTGGGCACTGGCCAGCATCTGCCCCTGGAGGAGGGAGCGGGAAGAGAAAGAAAAAGGCTTCTGGAGGTTTATTGCTCCCTAAGCTTCATGAATAGCCCCTCCAACACACGTCTTATTCCTCGGCAGGCTATGCTTTCCTGGCTGCTCCCCACGTGGCTGCCGTGGCTGTTTCCCACCTTACACCCCTGGCTTGGCTCTGGATAATGCCACACATTCCTTCCCTGTTTTTGGCAGTGGAACCTCTTCTGTCTCATGTGAAACAATGGCTCAGAGCCATGCTGCATGAGGCCATTGGCTGCAGCAGGGAAGGAGATGTTTGGCTTGGCCTCAGTGAATCACCGCAGTGTGTGTGCATGTGGACGAAGGTGCTGGCACCCTGGGCTTTCCCTGTGGGACCCAAGCCCAGCTCCCTGGGGTCTGGCTGGGAGGTAGAGAGGTCCTGCAGCCTTTGTGCTTGGCACAGTGAGCTCTGCAGTGTGGTGGGGACCTGAGAAATCATGACAAGACACTGGTTGCTCCGGGGGGACTTCAGGACAAGAGAATTTGCCCCAGACTGTGCAAAGTGCCTGGGCTCTCCCATCTTCTGCCATGTATCTATATGAGGGTCTGTACTTCTGGGCTGTGGAGGTGGATACCAGCATTGTCCCTCCAGTGTCACAGGCCCCAGCACCACGTGTCTGTCATTGTATGGGTGTCTGTGGATCTGCACTGCAGTGTGGCCAAGGCTGAGGAACAAGGCACTGTGGGCACTGGGGGCAGGAAGGGCTCCTAGCCTCGTCTGCAAAAAGGCTTGGATTGCACATACCTGGCAGGGGCCCAGCAACGCTGCTCTCCTCTGTCCCACAGCCCAGAAACACATCCACGGTGTCCTGGTCTGACAGGTCCATCATGTCCATCTGCTCCAGCATGTCCACATTCACCTCCATGGAGGAAATGCTGCCTAAGGGGGCTGCAAAGACAGAGGCCAGCAGAAAGGTGAGTAGTAGTGCCAGGCAAAGGGCAGTGTGAGCCCTGTGCAGGCAGGACCCTGAGGAGGGGGCCAGCTTTGCTGTGGGGAACTGAGTTCCACTTGCTGGTAGGAGTCCCCCAGGAAAACCATGTTTCCTTGAAACATCCCTCTGGAAGCCCCGGCTGCCTCACTACAGTCCTTGCTCCTGCTCCAAACTGCTGTCTGGAGGAGCCTGTCTGAAGTCAGTGACTATGCAGGGCGCCAGCCTGGGTACCCATGTGCAGTGACTTCAGTTAAGTGGTGTGAGTAATCCACAGCACACCCACACACAGCGTGTGTGGTCCTGTCTTGGCAGAGGACACACGTGTCCCCAGCTGCCTTCAGACTGGGCATGTCCCACTGATCTCTAACACCCATGTCGTTGTTCCCTGAAACACCTCCAGCCCCATGCCAGTGCCTGCAGCACTTACGTCTCCGATGTTCTATCTGCAGGTGAGACATAGGGAAGAAGAAATCCACGTCATGCTGGAAAACCTCCTCAAAGAACTTCTGCCGGTCCCGTAGTTTCAGCTGCTGCTGCTGCATCTGCTCTGCATCCAGGCTCCGCTGTGCCTGCTCCATGTCAGCTGGTGAGAAAGGTGAGGAGGGTCGGACCAGGCAGGGCTGTCCCAGCCCTTCTGCCTGTCCCAGCTCATGCGGTATGGCCGTGCTTTACCAGCGCACGTTGATTTAGTCATCGTGAATAGAAGTTACACACCGGAACGGCAGCGTCACCAGCACTTGCTGTGCTGGAGCCTCAGATATCGCTTCTGAGACGCATGGCAGCCAGGAATTGGGAGCTCATATGCTATATTCGTGGCTGCTGAAGTGAATTATTGCTGGGGAAGGGGAAAGGGTGTTGTTATGAGACCAGCCATGGTTTGCAGGGGGGTTGGACTAGATGACCTCTAGGGGTCCCTTCCAACCCAAAACATTCTATGATTCTATGATTCTATGTTTCAGTTCCCTTGCTACAAAACAGAGGTTTGTCCATGAACACTAACAAGCAGGGGAAGCTCCCAGGGACAAGAGCTGGTGTTACCGCTCCAGGCTTTCTGGGCTGAGGGATGCGTGAGGAATAAAAGGCATCAGCAACCCTGTCAGCCCTGCACGTGTGCACCCCTGCCGCAACCGTCGCTATAAATACAGCCGCACCCACGCTCGCAGGCTCCCCTGTTCACATCCCCCGCTCACACAGCCAGCTTGGCTTCTGCCTGCACAAACATTTTCATTCCTGTAATTCCTCTTGCAGTTCAACACCGGTGCCTGTGTCCCCGGCTCGCACGGGAGGAAGTCATGGGAGCTCTCGGACTGTTGCTGAAGGAGCTTGTTATTGCATCCCTGGGCCTGGTACCTCCCTTTCAGGTTGGGTACCCGCAATGGCAAGGACCCAAATGGCTCAGAGGGGCCATGGCTGGTGGCCCCGGCTTGTTCCCAGGCTGGTGTTTGACCTCAGCCATTCCAGATTTCCTCTCTGCTGCTCTTGGCCCAGCCAACACAAGGAAAATGTGATTACTGGAGCAGGCAGTGTAGTAACCAAGGAAACCAAACAAACATCCTCTGCGCTGCCTGAGCAGACCCAAACCCTCTGCTCCTCCGGGCTGGGGAGGAGGGAACAGAGCGAGCAGCATCCCCACCCTGTCTGGCAGGAGCGGGGGTGAGGACAGCAGGGGGCTGGCTGTCAGCAATATATAGCAGCATAGGATCCAAATGGGAGAGGCGATGGACCTGGTGAGATGTCCTGGAGATCAATGTCACATCTTCCCAAGAGCCCTTCCAGGGCTCCTCTGCACCCTGGGGCATCCTTCAGCTAAACCCCATCATCTGCAGGTGCCAGCTCAGGGAGGCCGGGTTCTGCCTGCAGCACTGTGCGGGGGTGCAGTGTGACTCAGGGCCAGTCACCACGCACTTTCTGGAAGAGGCTCTGGTCCTCCTCCAGCTGCTCAGCACCTTCCTGCGATGCCCGGAGTGATGCCTGGCTGCTTGAAGGGGCCTTTCTTGGTGCGTCTGACCTAAGCACTGGGCGCCTGCTCTGGTGCAGAGGCTCGGCGTGCTGTGCAGCGCACGGGCTAACAGTTGTGGTGGTGGATGCACCATGCCGGTGAAGGTGTCCTCATGAGGCTGACTGGTGGCTGCAGCCCAGTGCTGCTGGGGTAAGGTGAAAACCTCCTCCCCTGTGCTATCTGCAAAATAGAACAGAGCCAGGGACAAGGAGGGGGTGACTGGGGCATGGATTATGGAGCTGGGTCCCTCCAGCAGCTAGAGACAGCCCTGTCCTGACCATCCCAGGCAGAGCCCTGTCCCTCAGCCCAGTTGTGCCAAATCCATGGCAAACGTGGTTCACCACACTGAGGAGAGCCCATCAGGCTCCAGCTGTAGGGAAGCTGGGTTTGGGGCAGGGGCTGTGCTGGCTCCTAGATTCAGGGCAACAGAGAGGCTCTCTGTGCAGCATCTTGCCAAAGGCACTGCAGTGTGGAGGTAAGGAAGAGGGTCTCTAAATCCTCCTGCAGTGCAAAGACAAAATAAACCAAAATGCTAGCAGGCGCTGCTCTGAGTGCTGTGAGCGTGGCTGATCCATGCCATTAATGTTCTCACTGCCTGTCCCTGCCCCGGCACGTGGCCAATACTCGGGATAAGGGTGCTTGGGGAGAGTCAGGACTGGTGCTGGTGGCAGCATTCCTGTGGGCGCCAGGATTTCTCTTGCAGGAGAAATTAGCAGGACCTGTTTATGAACTTGTTTTCAAGCTCTTGCCGGGAAGTTGGGCACAAACACTGAGATCCCATTATGTACGGAATGCCGGCAGCGGGAGACGGCAGCTGGGCTGTGCTTGGCCCTGCCTGACCCGTGACCGTGGTGAGAGTCGGGGACAGAGTCTTCCCCCCCTCCCGGGGCTCTTCCGGGCCCAGGGTGAGCGAACAGCCCTGCTAGTGTAGCTGCTCCTCAGCAACCCTCGCTGGGGAAATAAAGGAGAGCGGCGTTCCCTGCCGCGGCCCTTCCCCATGTGACAGCCGGTCACACTCCCCGGCCCTCAGTCGTGGGGATTGTCTCATCCAGCTGGCATGTTCCCACCGCGGGACATGGTCACACACACAATGCGGCCCCTGTGCACCGTGGGGGATCTGTCGGTACCTGCTGGTGGCCTGGCTTTTATTACTATTGTCATGGTTATTACTACAGCCTGCTCAGCCAAGGGGCTGGAGGCTTATCTGCATTCAGAGCCAGGCTCTTCCCCGCCGGCTGAAATGCGACGGCACCAAGTGCCCCGCTGCCTTCAAATCCTTCCGGCTCTCACGGCTTATTAGCCAGCGCAGCTCGGAGAGGAACTGGGGCCAAATGCTGATGCGGAGGTTGGGCGGGCAGGGCAGGGCAGGGCAGGATCCCCCCCAGGAGGTGCAGGCAGGGATTTCCTTCTCTCCTGCTCCCAGGCAGCTGCCCACAGGGTGGGCTGTGGGGGAGGACGCTGGCCCCACTGGCCCTGCTGGTCCCTCTGCCCTGCCAGGACATGTCAAGGAGCCAACCCTTGCATGGTGTGGCCTCATGGCCACCAGCATGGTGTGGAAAGGTGCAGGAGGGCTGGCTGGGAAGCAAACCGCTGCAAGCTCTCCAATCCACACCCTCACTGAAGTGGGTTGGGAGAGGAGCAATTCCTGGGGTGCAGTTAGTATGGGGTGAGGGTCAGATGGGGCTTGAGGGTGCACCCCTTCAGGTGCTCTCCGACCCAGCGTTGGGGCTGGGAGTAGAGCACAGTTCAATTGTCTGGCTGTGTTGCCGCTGGGAGGGGATGTGTTTTTCATTCCTCCTTGGCCCACAGGATCCCAGTACAATCCCCCCTCCCATGCTGGTGAATAGGAAGGGTGTATTTGGGAGTGAGAGAAGGGTTGTTAGTGGAGGCACAGGGCCAAGGCAGGATGGGGATGGCCTTTTCTTGAGGCCACAGCTCTGCACTACCTTGCAAGGATTCTGAGAGATTTAAAGAGGGTCCTGAAAAATAATCTGGCTGTGGAAATGGATAGGGGGTGATGGGAAGGTGAGCAGAGTTTAAGCCAGGGGTCACTCCAAACATGTGCCAGTTCCCTGGTGAATGAAAGAGCTGGGGCAGGCTGGCCCAGCCAGCTTTTGCCCTTGTCCCTGCACTGCCCCAGAGCCCTATCCCCTGACCCTGCTCCTCCAGAGAGGCCTGGGTACCCACTGCTGCCCGGCTTGTGGGATTGCGCCTTGTGCTCCTGGTCCCTGCCCACAGTGCTGCGAGGAGATCGGATGGGGGGAAGCTGCAGCTCCTCGGCTGCCACAGCATCTTCCAGGAAGCCCTGCAGAGATCACACGCCTTCCCCTATCACCCTGCCCTAGCAAAACCACTGCGGGACACTGGTAAATCCTAAGGGCTTTCGGTTCCTTTAGCCTTGGGAGAAGCAGCTAGTGTGGAGAGCTGGGAATGCCCCGGAGAATTGTGCAGGGTCAGGCCGTGCAGAGATGGGATGCCTGGACATGCCGGCCGCCTGAGCATGAATTCCCTGCACAGTCTTTTCTCAATCAGCATGACTGACCTCGTGTTGCAGCGCAGCAAAAAATAACCGTAGCCCCGGTGAGAGGAAATGCACCAGGCGAGTGCAAGGGCAGGCAGTGGTTTTGGCAGAGCCACTTGCTGGGTAAAGTGGCGGGGGGGGGGTGACAGACGATTAGGGAGGGAGGACATGGCACCCTGTAACCCCTGTCTGTGCCACGGTTTCATCGCCTGCACTCCTCCAAGCGATCTCCAAATCCCCTGCGTCTCGGCACTAAAAATATCCCTGCCGCCCAGAGCTCCTTCCCCAGCAGAGGCTGTGTCATAAGACCCTGCTATTTACGGGGCCCTGCTTCGGTGCATGCAGAAAGAAGCGTGAGGACAAGAAAGCCAGGAGGGCAGCGGGGTGCCCAGGGCAGGCTGTGCCCCTGCCAGCCCCCTGTCCCCCTGGCCGCCGCGCTCGCTGGTGTGCCTGCTCTGCTCAGCCTCCTCTTCCCCTGAACCCCGCGGGTGTGGGGGGATCCGCTCCCCCCGGGGCTCCGAGGGATTCCGAAGCCGCTCCACAACGA